TCCCTCAGGATCCCTTCCTCCCTCTCCAGGGCTATACATCTCCTCTAAGGCTCTGCAAAAGAACTGCTTCGTAAGTGTCTCAATTCTGATTTATTTGCTGTATTTTAAATTCACCTGTGGGCTCTTGCTCCCTAGTTGCTCTCAATTTGGCCCATGGCGCAGCCAGGCTGGGGCACCTTGGGTTTCTGAGGGAAGAGCACAGGAGGGAAAATTCAGGTAGCACTTGGGTTGGTAGTATTTGTTTCCTCAAGGCTACCACCAAGTTTCCAGTCTTTGAAACTACAGCGCCAGAGGAAGCACTCTCCAAATCAGATAATAATTTTCGAACGGAGCTTTTGAGGGCGAAAGGACTGAGATAAAAGGATGGGAGGAAAGGAACTATAGTTTACCCCTCTAACTGTGGGGGGCTGAGGAAGACTGGTCCCTGCGCTTCCTCACATCCAGCTCCAGTGCCTTCCTCGGCATGAAGGCTCAGGGAGTCAGGAGAAGGTAGATTTCTGAGTCAAGTCATAAAGTCTCCCCCTCAAGCCCTTAAATAATTTTCCCCTGCTGTTCTGCAAGTCTGTCATTAGAAATTCCTTCCTTGAAGGAAATCCTGCCATTTACAACGACATGGATGGAACTGGAGGACATTATGCTAAGTGAAATAAGTCAGACAGAGAAAGACAAATACTGTATGATATTACTTATATGTGGAATCTAAAAAAACAAAACAAAAGAGACAAACTCATAGACACAGAGAACAGATTGGTGGTTGCCAGAGGTAGAGATGGGGGATGGATGAAATGAGTGAAGGGGGTCAAAAGGTACAAACTTCCAGTTATAAGACAAATAAATCCTGGGGATGTGATGTACAGCATGGTGACTATAGTTAATAATACTGTATTGTATATTTGAAATTTGCTAAGAGAGTAGATCTTAAAAGTTCTCATCACAAGAAAAAAATTGTAACTGTGTGGTAATGGATGTTAACTAGACTTATTGTGGTGATCCTTTTGCAATATATACAAATATCAAATCATTATGTTGTACACCTGAAACTAATACAATGTTATGTGTCAATTATGTCTCCATAATAAAAAGAAATTTCTTCTTTGGACTGAGACATTATTCTCTTCAAGTGTCCTCTTTGAAAACGGAATTGGAACCAAAACATTAACAGCACTTATAGCTGGGGAGATTGTAGGTGATGTCTGTTTTCTAAATTCTGCCTTTCTGTGTTTTCTAGTGTTCTAAAGTGAGAGTGCTTTACTTTGATGATCAGGCCAAAAATAAACTTTTTTTTAAAGCAATTAGAAAATCTCTCAATCCAGTTGTAGTTCCCTGAGCTGTCATCACTTAACTGCTGCAGAAGGAAAGGTGAACTGCTCCAAGGACAAACTTTCCAGAAAGTAGGGCTTTTAAGGGAATGGCTGTGCCACCTACTAGAGCCCTCAGCAGCTGGAGGTGAGGTACAGAGAGGAGAGCAGGTATTTCAGATTCCTATGAGGGGCTGTGAGATCAAGGAATGGAGGAATGAGGCTGACGGACAGAAGAGGGCTGTGATGGCCTCCAACACCCACAGGATGCCACATCAGGTCCTTCCTTGAGCATGAGAACCCCACCTCTCCTGTCCTACTCAGTCTTATGAGGATGCCCCCACAGAAGAGGTACCATGCTCAAGACTCTTGGAGCAAGAAATAAGGAGCCTAGCAGGGCAAGTACCCAGGCAAGAAGGGGTTAATTCAGGAGCTGCTCTCAGGCTGGACCCTCCTAATCTTCTCCTGCAGTTCCAATCCCTCCCCTAAGGAAGATTAGGTAGAGATCCTAAATGAAGCCTTCTTGCCTAGCCCTTGGGCCATGGAGTGTGTTGGCCCCATGCCCAGAAGACAAATTCAGCTGGCAAGGCCTAGAGTTCTCTGTTCTTCCAAAGCAGCCAGGGCTTGACTTCTAGGAGGATCCCTCAAAGAGAGGAGTTTCTTTAAAACCTGCCTGCTTCTAATAGCTATTCAGTCTTCTATATTTGTCAAAGTGGTTTCCTGTCCCCATTACCTTATTTGAGACTCAAAACCTTGGAGATGAGCAAACTAGGGCCTGGAGAAGTTAAGGGACTTCCTCAAAAGGTTCCAGGCAGAACTAAGATGAGAAGCTAGTTTTTTGATTCTCAGGCCAGGATTCTTTCTCTAAACCTTCTACAGCTCATTGCAGAAACAAAAGCAGAATCTAGTCAGGCCTACCACCCAACCACTTGCTATTTTGTTCACCACTGCCTTCCTGACCCTAGCTAAAAGCAGACCCCCATTAGGCAATTTATCCCAATTGAATAAGCTCTAACAACTTGTTCTTCTTCCTGCCCAGCTATGCCAAATCAGGCTCTCTAGAGATCCCAAGCCTCAGTGATGGCATTTTTTTGACTCCACCTTCCCCCTGGCCCAAACCACTTTCCTACTGACTCAGGATTGGCTCTGGGGAGAGGCTCTCCTCTTGGGGACACTGTTGACCCCCATGGAAAACTCAAGCTGGGCTTTTCTGCCACCATCTCAGGAATTCTGAAGCAGGAGCTGCTCCTCTGGGAGGCAGGAGGTCTTCTCCCCAAAAACCTCAAGGAAGCTTACCAACACTCACACTCAACGCCCAGATATAGATAGGAAGTACAAAGGAAAAGTATTTAACCCAGCCTGGGTGGGAAGAGGGGTCCAAGGAAGGTTTCAAGAAGAGGATGAGTCCTGAAGGATAACTAGCAATTAGCCAAGCAAATGGTGGTTGCTTAAGGGCTTGGAAACAGAGAAAAATGCAAATTCAGAGAAGTATGCACATTCAGATATGGCTGGATCGTGTGTGTGTGTGTGTGTGTGTATGTGTGTGTTTATGTATGTGTAGGAGCAAAAAGCATGAGGTTGGAGGTTACTGGTGGGATATGAGGCTGGGAAGAAGAGCAGAAGTCAGACAATGGAGGGCTTTCCTGGTTTTTCTGGGCTAGAGAGTTTGAACTTCATCCTGAAAGCAATTAAGAGGTCCTAAAGTTTCTAAGCATTGCAAAGAGGTGGGTGGCACTTATGCTTTTCCATTTTAGAAAGATCCTTGACTACTGGATGGATAATTGATTGCAGGGGCAGAGCTGAAGGGGAATTAGAGACCAATTTGAGGTGCCTATGAGATTTCCAAATGGGCAAGAGGTAACGGTCTGAACTAAAGTTTAGGTAGTGGAGATGGAAAAAAGGGGATGCATTCAGGATATATTTTGAAGATAGATCTGATAGGACTTCATAATTGTTTGTATGTCAAGAAGAGGTGAAGAATCAAGGATGACTGGCTTGGATTGCTGGATGAGTGGTGGTCCCATTGGGATAGGGAACACTGTGTGAAGAATAATTTGGGGGTAAAGAGAAAAGAGGACAGATGATTTCAGCTTTGCAAATGTTGAGTTTGAGGTACACTTAAGCCATTCCAATGGGGTCATTCTGAGTGCAGTTGAATATACAAATCTTGAGTTTAGGAGAGAGATCTATGCCAGAGGTATGGATTCAGGAGGCATTGCCAGATTGCAGAGGGCTGAGCAGTGAGTGAGAGGGGAAGAAGTAGAGACATCAATATTAAATGGCTTGTTTAAGAATCTTGGCTGCAAAGAGAATGATGAGGATAGGGTAATAGCTGCATAGGGAGGAGGTAGGGTAGGGAGCTCAAAAAAAAAAAAAAAAGGTAAGTATTTGAAGTAGTCACCAAAGATGCTTACCAGGGTGAAGCAGAAGGACTTCCAAGCAGCACTGAAGGCCCCACTGAGACGCACAGTCATGATCAGGATAGGTAGAATTGCGCCCACTTTAACAATAAGAAAACCAAAGCCTGGAAAGGACTTGTGCAGTGTCACAGCTGGTAAGTGATAAAACTGAGATTCAAACTAGATTTCCCTCCCCACCTCCCATCAAATGTTTATTGGCTCCTGCTCTGCACTGCTTTGCATCAACATTGGCATTGTCAAATCCATCACTGATGAATAGTATTGACTATTAACCATGTGCCCAATGCTGCAGAGGCACAACAGAAGTTCAATATATGGTTTCCTCCCCTCAAATTGTTTAGAATTTGGTTGAAGAGACAAGATATTCAACAAATGCATATACATATAAAATGGTGAAACTCTATCTGTCTCTGTTTCTCTCTCTCTGTGTTTGTCTGTCTCTCTCTTTTTCTGTGTGTCTCTTTTTCTCTCTCTTTCTCTTTGTCTCTCTGTCTCTGTTTTTATCTCTCTGTCTCTCTTTCTGTGTTTCTCTCTCTCCCTTTCTGTCTCTCTAGCTCTCTGTCTCTCTCTCTTCTTTTCCCTCCTTTTTCTGATTCCTTCTCTCAATCTTCTTTACTAACATTGGGCAGCTCTGGTACTTTACACTGAAGTGTCATTGACTCATTTGGAAAGTCCATATCTTATAGTCTCTCAAACCTCTTTAACTACTTTTGTTCATTCATTAAGAAGACATTTTTGAACACCTGCTCTGGGTAATGCATTGTGAGGCACTTAAGATTCAGAGATGAATAAGATACAGTCCTTGCCCTCAAGTAGCTCACAGACTAGTGGGGAAGAGTAAGGATTTAAACAGGAAATCACAATATAGTGCAATAAGTACTATCTGTACCTCGGTTTCCTCATTTATACAATAGGGATTATTAGTACCTACTGCAAAGCATTGTTGTGATGATGAAATGAGTTAACATGTGTAAAGTGCTTATAATGGTCACATAGGAAACACTACATGAGTGTTGCTACTATTATTATAATTACTATGATGGAGGTAACTAAACACAAGATACTGTAAGAACATAGAGGAGGGGCACTTGATCCAGGCTAGAATAAGAGACATCTGAGCTGAGCCCTAAAGGATGAGAAGGTTCTAAACAGAGGGAGAAGAATGCCAGGTATTTTGCATAGAAGGAACAGCCTGCACTCGGGTTTGGAAGCAAAAAACAACATAACATGACTGAGGAACTGAAAGTAATTTAGTTCAGCAAGAGTATAGAGTACAAGGAGGAGAATGGCAAGAGATGAAGCTTGACAGGTCATAGAGTACAAACAAGTTTGGACTTTATCCTTTAGCCGATGGGGAGACACTGGAATGTTTTATGTAGAGTAGTGACTTGATCAGATTAATGTGTTGAAAGATAACCTTAGCAACAGTGTGGAGAATGAATTGGAGGAGGCAAGATTGGAAGTAAGACCTGCTAAAAAGTCGTTGCTGTAGTCCAAGGGAGAGAGGATGACAAAGCCCTGAACTGGGGAAGTAGCAGTGGAAATGGAGAGAAGAGTGCCATGGATTTGAGGTATATTCAAGAGGTAGAACTGGTAAGACAGTGACAGTAGAAGGTGAGGGATAAGCGTGAGAGACATGTCAAGGATCACTCCCAGAATTTTGGCCTGGCACAAAGGAATGGATAGAGGTATCATTTAGTGACCATGGGGAACCCAGGGAAGAACTATTTGGGGAGAGGTGCGATGGGGGGTGATGAGTTCTTTTTTGAACATGTCAAATTTGAGGTGCCTATGATATTTCCAAGTGGACATTTTAAACAGGTGATTGCTTTGGCAGCCTTGAAGCTCAGGAGGAAGGTCTATGCTGAAAATACTGATTTGGGAGTGCCAGTGGATAGGTGAGAGATTAAGTCACGGGAGTGAATACGTATGCTCAGGGACAGGGTGTTGATTGAGAAAAGGATGGACTTCTGAGGAATACTCACATGTAAGAGACGAGTAGAGAAAGAGAAATCTTGAAGGGTAAAGTGGAATAGCCAGATAGTGGTGGGTTGAAAAATTAGTGGGCTGGAGGGTCTTGTAGAGGATGGGGAGAAGGATGTGCCCTTGACCCTTAGTGTCTTGAACCTTGGTAAGTGTGGGGGCCGGCACTCCTTGAATACTGCAAAATCCTGGGCAGCTCCGAGTTCCTAAAGAATTGGCTTGGATGCCTGCCTCTTACAAAGCCCTCTATTCTAGAGCAGCTTCCCTTTCCTCTGTACATCTTAGTGCCCCTGACAGATAGATAGCCTAGGGAATTTCAGGGTTCCCTCGTGCGCCTGGAACAACTTTTGCTCCAGAATCCTCCCACAGCATCCGGAGGCCTAGGGCTGGTGGGGAATCTACTAGGAGAGCAAACAGGAAATGTCTGGGTGCATTATACATGCACGAGACCTGAGGCTAACCTGTGGAGGGGGATTTGGGCAGGGCTGGGAGGATCTGAACTCTCATAGTGTGGACAGAAGGCTTCGTTGCCTGCCCCAACCTGCCCTGGAATAAATTTTCACCAGGGGCAGGATGACCCAGGTCTAGACAACTGCTCTCTAGGCCCTTGAATATTCAAGAGCCCTCTAATAGCCTGGAGTGCAAGGCTATACTCTAGGACCTGTTCCTCCTGATCCAGTCTCCTGGAGTTTGGCCTCAGTCTGCAATCGAGGGGCCCTGTGGCACTGTTGCTGAGCAATACATTCAACAGCGGGCCTTGGAGACAGAACTGTGCCAGCCAATGGCCTGACCTGGAGTTAACACAGCCACCACAACTGCCACTGCCATCATCACCTTCTCGGAAAGCAGCCACCTGTCTGGCCCCTGGCTTTGTCTGGCTGCCAACCTAAGGCATGTGCCTACGCAGGAGGCGATGACATTTTGGCTCCACTTTCAAAGTTTTTTTTTTTTTCTTTCTCATGTGTTATTTCTAAAGATAACAAAGGTCAAAAGGCATCCAGCATTTTCTGGTTTCTCATAAGCTTCTGGTCAATATTTAATCTGGTTTATGGATTTTTTTTAGGTCTTCTAGATGCCTTCTTGAGCCTGCTTGTGGCCACCCACAGACACTTGTAAGGAGGAGAGAAGTCGGGCTGGCAGAGACACTCTGAAATGAGGGATTAGAGGCCGGGATCCAAGGAGCAAAAGCTGCAGCCAGAAGACGAGGGAGCAGGCCCTAAGACGCTTCTATTGAGAGGTCTGCCATGGCCTCTCTTGGCCTCCAACTTGTAGGCTACATCCTGGGCCTTTTGGGGCTATTGGGCACCCTCATTGCCATGCTGCTCCCCAACTGGCGAACAAGTTCTTATGTAGGTGCCAGCATTGTGACAGCAGTCGGCTTCTCCAAGGGCCTCTGGATGGAGTGTGCCACACAAAGCACAGGCATCACCCAGTGTGACATCTACAACACCATTCTAGGCCTGCCTGCTGACATCCAGGCTGCCCAGGCCATGATGGTGACATCCAGTGTAATCTCCTCGTTGGCCTGCATTATCTCTGTGGTGGGCATGAGATGCACAGTCTTCTGCCAGGACTCACGAGCCAAAGACAGAGTGGCGGTAGTGGGCGGAGTCTGCTTCATCCTTGGAGGCCTCCTAGGCTTCATCCCTATTGCCTGGAATCTTCACGGGATCCTGCGGGACTTCTACTCCCCACTGGTGCCTGACAGCATGAAATTTGAGATTGGAGAGGCTCTTTACTTGGGCATTATTTCCTCCCTGTTCTCTCTGGTAGCTGGAATTATCCTCTGCTTTTCCTGCCCACTCCAGAGAAATCGCTCCAACTACTACGATGCCTACCAGGCCCAGCCCCTTGCCACTAGGAGCTCTCCAAGGCCTGGTGAACCATCCAAAGTCAAGAGTGAGTTTAACTCCTACAGCCTGACAGGGTATGTGTGAAGAACCAGGGGCAGAGCTGGGGGGTGGCTGGGTCTGTGAAAACCAGTGGAAAGCCCCCCCAGGGCCTCAGATGAGGGACATTGCCACTGGATCATGTTAGAACCTTCTGCTGAGGATAGACTGATTTTGGCCCCTGGATCAAGCAAAGGCAGAAACGGGAGCTGGTGTGACAGCGTGCAGGTTGAATTGTCAAGATGCTTGCCAAGCCAGGCTTTCTGTTTCCTTCACCTTGGCCTCCCCACCCTCTACCCTGAGTCCCAACCCTCAACTTTAAACCCACCCTAGGCCAGGCCCTAGAGGCTCCCCTTTGCCCTTTGGTTTACCTGGGAATCTATCCAAAAACCCACTAATTACATCCCACTGACTGACTGTCAGTGTGATCAAAGACCCTCCCTCTGGTGGAGGTTGGCCCTTAGTTCATTGCTGGGGGATGGGAGGAAGGAGTGGTGGCTTTTATGGGCATGGCTCTAACCTCCCTCTCAAGCCTCCCTCCAAAGAAACTGATTGGCCAGTAATAAGCCGTGGAGCCTCCATTCCACTCTTGTTATGACTCCACAGTGTCCAGACTGGTTTGTGCATGAACTGAAGTAAAGCCATGGTACCGAGGGAACAGAGAGCAACTGGGTGCAGGATGAGAGGGAGGGAAGGCAGCCAAGGACCAAAAAAAGACCAGAATGACTGCCCAATGCATTTCCCATAATTCCTCACACTTGTGGGTTGCGGATCTAGCCCCCGGCTAGAGGAAAACACCAGGAAAGAAGATATGGTGGAAAGCTCAAGGCGGCAGCAGACTGATTCCACTGAGGAACTGCCTCAGAAGCTGCAGCCCCAACTTTTGCTGAAGCCCCTGCCTACCTCTGACCTGGCCTCCTGCTAAATAACAAGGTGAAGGGCCCTACACAATGGTTTCCTTAGGAAAGGGAAACTAGTTTTTCTAGAGATGGCCCTTGACTGAGGGATGACAATGTGGGAGCTGTGGGGGATTGAGGAAAGTACCACTCCTTGATGCTGCCTGACAAAGAACAAGAACTTTGGTGTTCAAGAAGCTGGGTAGACATGTGCGGTGGCTCCAGTGGGTGTTTCTATTGGCCAGAGAGAGGCAGCCCGCCGGAGAGTCTTCAGGACTAATGGAAAATCAGCTCAAAGGCTGAGATCAGGCTTCTGGGATCTACCCACAGACCCCTACAGAGCCTCTGAAAGACAGCAGCATCACTTGGGCCCCCGTCACCCTTCATATTTCCCCTACCATCCTTCACCAGACATTCCAGAGTTGCCAGAAGGCATCCAAGGGCTCCAGCATGGAACAATCATGCCCATAGTGCCATGGCCCTGATCTGAGTGATAGCTGAGCTGCTGCCTGGGATTTCAGTTGAGGTGGGAGAGTAGAGAATGGTTCCCAGGCAGCTCCAAGGTCTGAAAATGCTCCATTTCCCCTGGGGTGGGGGTGAGGATGGGAGTCATAAACAAACCAAAGGCATTTTCTCTCACCAGCCTAAGCATGACCAGCTTCTGAGAAACTCCAGTACACCTCCCTAAACCTCAGTGCCAACAGAAGGGGCCCATTCATTGTCTTTAACGTGCCTTTCATGTTTCCACCTGCTTGCCTATGTTTAAGCTGTTCTCCCAAGCTGGAAGGCCCTCTCCCCTTAGCCAAGTCTCCCTCATGCTTGGAGAACTTGCTCAGCACCACCTCCTGCATTGAGCCTCCTCTGACCACTCCATCCCTCTCCCACCCCTCCCTCCTCCAATCTTCAATGTAAAAATTGCTTCTTTGATGCTTATCATTCAGAATTTTTAATGGATAGTTTATCTTTTCATGTGTGTGTATCTGATTTCACAAGTACGTTGTAAACTTTTGGAGGGTAGGGGTCATTTTTTAGACCTCTCTGTATCCTCAAGACTATCTGTAAGAGTGCTGGGCACACAGTAGGTGATCAATAAATACTTGTTGATTGAGTAACTGTTTTTATTAATTCAAAGGGGCCCAGACAGTGCCGGTGTGATGGAGAGAAGTGGGTTAAGGGGAGGGTAGGATGGAAACTGCCCCTTCTCCCCACTGGGTGGATAGAAAATTCTAGACTTTACTGGACACATTAAGAAAGCAAGACATCCTCCGTCACCCAGGAAACTTTAACCTTTTCATCTTGCCCAGGACTCCTCCCTCTTCACAATTGTTTCATTTAAGTTATTTACTAAATGGCTATGTGTTTGTTTATTCTTTTCATTCTCTGAACCACCATTGTGAGGAAAGTGAAATAGATCTCATAATCTCCATTTGGCAGACGGAGAAATTAAGGTCCATAAGTAAAGAGATTTTCCCAGGGCCACACTGCTGGTGTTAGTGCCCCAGTCTTCTGACTCCCAACATAGGAGTCCACTGATCCAACAATATTTGCAGCCAATAGGAAGAGCCTGCCAGAGGTCCCCAAGCCACCTGAGGAAAACAACTTATGGCCAGCAAGGTAACGCTGGGCACACATAGGTTCTCCTGGTCTCCTGTGAGGGGCATCTGGGAGAGCAGGACCAATTCACAGAGTGTACCGCCTGCAACTGCTCTTCCTGCTGTGCCGGCCAGCTGACCAGCTTGGGGCCCAGCTAGCTGTCCCACCAAGGGGTTGCCAAGCTTACGTTTGAATAAGACACAACACCTCAGCTCCAATTCTCCTTACTATGGAGGCGTGGGAGTTTGGGAGGACAATGATTTGGCCCTGTTCTAACCTCACTGGGAATTAACAAAGGCTAATTCATAAAGATGTTAACCGTGGCAACACTGACAATAAGGGGGCCCTACAAGATTCAGCTTACCCAGCCCCTGGACCTAGTGGGTCTCAGCACACAGGAGCCTGTTAGAACAGGCACTACCCTTGCAGTCCTAAAGTGGGTCTTCTCTGATGCAGAGGCTAGGATCCCAGCATCCACTTGAGAGAGAATGGCAGCAGGCAGGAATAAGGGTAGAGAGAGAGGGCTCTCTGAATAGAAGTTTAATAAGAGGTCATGTTCCTGGTCTGGCACCAGGAACCGCAGAGCCCATGACAGGGAGCCACTGGAGGTTGGAAGATGGGGTTGCCTTGCTGACTCTGCTATGCTGAGTGGGCAGCAGTCTGGTATGGGCTCTGATGACCCACCACCTGGCAGCCAAAGCATTTTCAGATCCCTAATTTCATTGCACCCTCCAAATACCTCCAATGAAGCAGGTCCTTAACAGGAGACAAAATGGAGGCCCAGAGAGTTGAGTAAATTTCCTAAAGTCACAGAGTGTCAGAGTCTGAACATAAGCTTGGAAACTCTTCTTATAGCAACGTGGGTCTGGAATTCCGTCCCAGAAGGTCTAAGAGTGCCTGTTCCTCTTCAGATTCCTGTGGCCCTCCTGTCCTTACCTGCTGCTGGAATATAAGGGCCTTTGAGAGAAATAGGGCACAGAGCTTCCCTTCATCTTAGGATGAAGCTGGCCTGGGAGGTCTTCCTTCCTTTTAATCCGGGAAGATTCTATGGAAAGAGTTAGAAGTTCATCCTCCTCATCTAGAAAAACCAGGGCAGACCCGACAAAGAACAACTATTCCCTTTGGCTGATTGAGCAAGAAAAGCCTTGCTCTAAATACTTTCCTAGAAATCTCCCTGAGTCTGGGTCCAAGTTGAACAGCTTTCAGTTCACTCCATTGCCATCCCTCATAAAGTAATTTAGATTAGCCATAGACTGAGGGGATAGTGAAGGCCATTGTGTTTATGCCCCAGCCCCATGGCTCTGACCCTTGCACAAGGAGAGGTATTTCTCCCCTCCCTCGTTCCTCTGATAATAGTGTGACTCATGTTTTCTCCCCCTTCGGGCTCTAGTGACCCACTGCTATGTGATCATTAATGGGGGAGGTGGAGGCTGAAACTGGCTTCTTGGTGGAAAAGCAAGCTTCAGCTTTCTGAGAGACCTTCATCCAGCCAGTCAAATAGCCATTCCACCAACTCTCTAGCCAGCCAGCTAGCCAGCCAGCCCACACTAACTGCACTCTTATTCTGTGTCAGGCTATGTGCTAACGGCTTTGAGGGCAACAAGGGTGAACAAGGTAAAGTGTGTGCTTTGTAGGAGCTGACAGCTGATCTAGGGGAGATAAGACATGCACACCCAAGTGTGGTACAAGGCACTGCAATATGGTCTGTCCTGTGAGAGATAGGGGAGAAGTGCCATAAGATAAGGCTGTCAAGGGCTAGTTTAAAAAGGTATGTAAGTCCCCTCAAATCCCAATCCATACGAAATGAGGGTCTGGCACTACTTGAAGTTCTTCAGAAAGGATGATCAAAAGAAACTGCTTCCTCTAGTCGAAGGACCATGGGAAATAGAGAAATATGGTAGAGAGCAGTGCTAAGGAAGAAACAGGGATACACTGTACAGCTAACCCAGAACCCCTTTGAGTTTGCCTCACAAGACCCCAAAGTGGCTCTAATGGAGAGAGTGACCCTGGGATTCAGTCTTTTCTCTCTCATTTCCTTGGGCAGGTTTCTGGAAATTACTGAGGGAGCAGAGGCAGTGCCCATCCAGGTAACCTGAGGTCTTTTGGCTCTGGACCAGAGGAGAAACACAGACATGGGAGAAGGGAGAGAAGAAAGAGAAGAGGCCCAGTGCTAAAGAAAGGCACATGAGGCCTTGCAGGGTCAACTGCTCCCTCCCACTCAGTCTTGGGCCCACAGACAGAGTATTCTTTTGTGCCTGCAGCTGCCTACTGTGGGACATAGAGGCCCCAGGCTGGGATGTGCATGTGCTCCTCCTCAGCAGGTTGAAGCCTGGCCTTCGCCCAGCCTGGTCTCCCTGCCCAAGCGGCTCCTAGCTTTGATGAGAAATTCTGTTATCACAACAGGGGAGAAAACCTCAAAGAGGAAGTCCAGCAGGTTATCTCTCTCTTTTGCCCTAAGTGGTGGCTCACTACATGCTGTGATGTGATCACTGATAAAATATTAACAGGCTCTTATCGGGCATAGCAATACAGAGGCTGTAATCTGACCACCCCCTCCACCTCACACAACCCACCACTTTCCTGGTTATTGTAGCTCAGGAATTCCTAGTTAAATCTTGCCTACAATTCCCTGCTCTGGGCCTCATTTTGCCACGAGACAAGCAGGAGTGTCTTAGGGCTTGATAAAGCAAGAAGTCACCATACAAAGGCAAATCATCAGGTCCTGCTTTCCTGTCATCCCTGAAGTCCCATTCCTCCAGAATGGCACCCTCACCACTTGATAAGTCACTTCCTGGAGGGCTTTGAAAAACTTTCTATTTGCAAACATGGTCTTGTGGAAATAACATTGAGAAGACTCACGTGCTTTCAGATATTAGGGAATACAATGGGATGTGAAATTAGATGCCAAACGAATACGAGTAGTATGGCAGGCAACCCAGCATTTCAGTGGTAGCTCCTCTTCTCCAACAACGCTTTCAGAGTATGTGATATTTGACCAAGTTCTGTGTGGGTTGCTCAGGAGCAAGACCAGTCACAACGAAAGTACAAAGAGAAGATGCTCCTTGCAGCCTCTACACTTGAATTTATTTCTGGAATTACCCAATGGGATGCAAGAGGGTGGATCAGCATCCCCCCCACAAAGGATGTCTGATGATATTGTGAAGATCCTATTCCCTTGGTGTAAAGGCACTGAATGCCTTGGTTAAAAAGCAAGCATATTTTCTGGGAAGAGAAACACATTCAGCCATAGATTAGCCATTAACGCCAGCATTTGCACTAGTTTCTCAGTTTAGCCCTAAAAGGAACCAGAATGAGAAAATGAGTCCAATGAGTTTAAAAAATAGAACACGAATTCAGAGACAACGGACACCAGACTTTGTGGGAGCAGGGGAATTCTCTGAGTAACATACGCACTCTTCAACTAAATAATTCAACAGCTTCAAAAATGGAGACGAAGTAGAAATCAAGAAAAAGGCAGACAAGATGAGAAAGGTGATGCCATCTTCCCCTTGACAATTCCAGAGGCACGTCATGTGGTTAATTTTACTCCTTTGAGTATAATAATAAACCAATATGTTCTCAAGTGTCACTTTCTCACTCCCCAAGAGATCTGCCCAACTCAGCACTGTCTGGGAAGGGGGGATGCAAAGGAGCCAGTGAGAACACTCATAGGCAGAGGCCAACAAGTCCAAGACCTCCTGGAGTGTAAGAATAGGATCTTGACGGCTGTGTGGATATCAGAAAAGCTGCCAAGCGACAGCCCTGAGTGAAAAACCCAGTCAAGAGGAAATGAATTTCCACGTAGTTTGGAGGGATATTTGTTACATGAGTGAACAATTTCCTGATCATGAGGGCAGTTAAACATTGTGTGGGATTGTGGAACTCGCTTCCTTGGAAATTCCTATCAGTGTGGGCTGCGTTTAGCATTTTCTTATCAAAAGAAAGAAGACGAGGCTAATCGTTTTCAAGATAGGCAGTATGGTGTAGTGGGAAAAGAGCCTGAGCTTTGAAGTCAGACAAACCTGGGTTTGGTTTTGCCTCTGCACTCTCTGGCTGTGTGCCCTTGGGAGGCTCATTTAATTCTTTACACTTTAGTTTCCTCATCTGTAAAATGGGGATGATATCTGCCTCTCAGTGTGATCATGGCATATAGTAGGTGCTCAACCAATGGTTAACCGTATTCTAAGTATATTGGTGACCTAAAGAGTGGTGTCAAAGTCAGCGCAAAATGTGTGTGCCTTTGGGGAAATGGGGGCAGATGATATATTTTCTACCACAGATCTGAATCTACATTAGCAAGGGGATATTCTTTCCCAGGCCAAAACTTCTCAAGAATCTTCCCCTAAGTCTGAATACCTTGAAGATCTTGAATAGGCTTCTACTCATCAGATTCCATTACCAGAAGCCAGGGGAAAAGCAGACTTGACAAGGTGGAGAGGAAAGGGGTGGTGATGGCTCTTTGACCTTCATCCAGATCTGTGAAAAT